GTCTTGACAACTTATTCTTTTATTTAGTTATGTTGAATAGAAATACAGGAAGTTTAAATTGGTAACAGACAGAAGTCAAAGGACAAGGAAAATGTTGGGGAGACAGAGAAGGGGTTAAGAGAGGAGGGAGGAGTGGTGTGGTTACTAAGAACAGAAAGGATTCTTGGCTGCCTCTCCACAGCTCTTGAGGCTGGAACTAGCACATCATGCTGAGCTCCACCTGTCTGGGGAATTCAGCTTGAATCAAATGTAATAACAACTAATCTACATCTAGTATTTACTTTATGCCAGCTGCTCCTTTAGGTGCTTTACATGTATTAACTCATTTAATCCTCACAAAAATCCCATTTTACATACAGGCATACCTCATTTCACTGTGCTCTGCAGTTATTGCACTTCTTACAAGTTGAGGGTTTGTGGTAACCCTGAACCAAGCAAGTTTATTGATGCCATTTTTCCAGCAGCCCATGCTCATTTTGTGTCTCTGCATCACATTTTGGTAATTATTACAATATTTCAAACTTTATTATTATATCTGTTATGGTGATTTTTGATCAGTGATATTTGATGTTACTGTCGTAATTGTTTTGGAGCACCATGAACCATGCCCATAAAGATGGTGAACTTAATTGATAAATGTTGTGTGTGTTCTGACTGTTTCACTGACTGGTCATTGCTCTGTTTCTGTCCCTTTCCTGGGGCCTCTCTATTCCCAGAAACACAACAATATTGAAATTAGGCCAATTAATAACCCCACAACGGCCTCTAAGTGTTCAAGTGAAAAGAAGATTCTCCTATCTCTGTTTTGAAATCAAAAACTAGATGTGATTAAGCTTAGTGAGGAAGGTATGTTGAAAGCCAAGATAGGCTGAAAGCTAGGTCTCTCGAGCCAAACAGCCAAGTTGTGAATGCAAAGTAAAAGTTCTTGAAGGAAATCAAATGTGCTACTCCAGTGAACACATAAGTGATAAGAAAGTGAAACAGCCTTATTGCTGTTAGGGAGAAAGTTTTGGTGGTCTGGATAGAAGATCAAACCAGCCACAACATTCCCTTAAGCCAAAGCCTAATCCAGAGCAAGCCCCTAACTCTCTTCAATTCTATGAAGATTGAGAGGTGAGGAAACTGCAGAAGAAAGGTTTGAAGCTAGCAGAGGTTGGTTCATTAGGTTTAAGGAAAGAAGCTGTTTTCTTCTTGCAAGATGAAACAGCCAGTACTCATGCAGAAGCTGCAGCAAATTATCCAGAAGATCTAAGATAATTGATGAAGGTGGCTACACTACTCAATAGATTTTCAACAGCCTTCTATTGGAAGAAGATGCCATCTAGGGCTTTCCTAGCTAGAAAGGAGAAGTCAATGCCTGGCGTCAAAGTTTCAAAGGACAGGCCGACTCTCTTGTTAGGAGCTAATGCAGCTGGTGACTTTAAGTTAAACCCAATGCTCATTTACTATTCTGAAAATCCTAGGCCCTTAAGAGTTAGGCTGAATCTACTCTGCCTGTGCTCTATAAATGAAACAATAAAGCCTAAATGACAGCACATCTATTTACAGTATGGTTTACTGAATATTTTAAGTCCACTGTTGAGACCCACTTCTCAGAAAAAATATCTCTTTCAAAATATTACTGCTCATTGACAATGCACCTGGTCACCCAAGAGCTCTGATGGAGAGGTACAAGGAGACTGAGGCTGTTTTCATGCCTGCTAACACAACATCCATTCTGCAGCCCATGGATCAAGGAGTAATTTTGACTTTCAGGTCTTATTATTTAAGAAATATATTTCATAAGGCTATAGCTGCCATAGACTGTGATTCCTCTGATAGATCTTGGCAAAGTAAATTGAAAACCTTCTGGAAAGGATTCACCATTCTAGATGCCATTAAGAATATTCGTGATTCATGGGGAGGAGGTAAAAATATCAACTTTAACAGGAGTTTGGAAGAAGTTGATTCCAGCCCTCATGGATGACCTTGAGGGGGTTTCAAGACTTCAATGGAGGAAGTAACTGCCAATGTAGTGGAAATAGCAAGAGAATTAGAATTAAAAGTGGAGCCTGAAGATGTGACTGAGTTGCAGCAATCTCATGATAAAACTTGAACAGCTGAGGAGTTGCTTCTTATGAATGAGCAAAGAATGTGGTTTCCTGAGATTGAATCTACTACTGGTTAAGATGCTGTGAACATTGTTGATATAACAAAGGATTTAGAATATTACATAAATTAGTTGTAAAGCAGTGGCAGGGTTTGAGAAGTATGATTCCAGTTTTCAAAGAAGTTCTACTGTGGATAAAATGCTATCAAACAGCATCGTACGTACGGAGAAATCTTTCATGAAAAGAAGAGTCAATTGATGCAACAAACTTCATTGTTGTCTTATTTTAAGAAATTGCCACAGCCACCCCTGCTTCTAGCAACCACCACCCTGATCAGTCAGCAGCCATCAAAATCAAGGATGGACCCTCCACCAGCAAAAAGGTTACAACTCGCTGAAGGCTCAGATGATCATTACCATTTTTAGCAATAAAATATTTTTTAATTTAGGTATTCACTTTGTTTTCTTAGATGTAATGCTATTGCACACTTAATAGACTACATTATAGTGTAAACATAACTTTTATGTGCACTGGGAAACCAAAAATTTTGTGTGACTCATTTTATTGTGGTAGCTTGAACCAAACTTGCAATATCTTTGAGGTATGCCTGTATTAGAAAATTGAAGCTTTTCATTTAACAGTTGAGAAAACTGAGGCACAGAGAAGTGAAGTAGCTTGTCCAGGGTCAAGCTAACAAGTGGTAGAGTTATAATTTAAATTTAGGATTCTGGCTCCAGACTTGTGTTCTCACTCATCAAAATATATTGCCTCTCCTGATATGCTGTGAGAATAAGTATTGTTTCAGTAAACGTTTACTTCAGGTGTATACGTGTATGTGTGCTTGTGTTTGTAATGGGTTGCAATGTAAAATGTATTTATTTTTGTGATCACAGACAAAAATGTCTAAAAGTGCTAGTGTTCTAGCAATAGCACTGCTAAATTGAACATCTTCAACCTTACTAGAGATAATGCTGTATTGCTCTCCTAAACAGTTATACTAAATCACATTCCTTCCAGCAGTATAACAGTTACCTATGTTTCATATCCTCACCTGAACTTAATAGTGTCAGGCTTTTAATATACTGCCAATCCAATAGGTGTGAAATCATATGTGGTTTTCAATTGCATTTTCCTGATTGCTATTATATCTTTTCATATGCTTTGGCCATTCAGGTTTTGCCTACTGTTAATCATCTGCTTATATCACTTACTTGTATATTATTGTATACAATACAGCCCTCACAACAGCTCTCTGAAGGAGCAAGCGGTATAGATGAAGAAACTAAGGCTGGGAGAAACCTTGCTTAAATCACCAGGCTAATGCGTTGTTGAGCTTCAATTTGAGTCCAGATCTAGAGGACCCCAAGCTCATGCCTTTTGTTTTACAATACATGCCAGGGCCCAAGTTCACCTTAGAAAAAACAGAGGAAGTATACAAATAATTTCGAACATGCAACCATATGTAATGTGTCTAATTAGGCTTTATACAATTATCGTAGATTATTTCCTTGTGTCCTTACAAGAACCTGTGAGGTAAAATATGTTATCTGTTTTACAAGTGAGGAGACTGAGGCTCAGAGAAGTGAAAAAAAATTTGCCTTGGGAAGGTTAAATTATAGCTAATTAGAGACAGAATTGTAACTCCAACACAGATCTGTCTGATTACAAAGTCTGTGCCTGTTTTGCAATAATGATGCCTGTCCAAAGATATATCTTGGTATGAGGTAAAGGCCTCCCACAAATCAGGTCTGACTCATCATCTCCTAGAGCCAGGTCTTGACCTCCTACCCTACCTTCTCTCCAGACCTCAACAAACATGGGTAAAGCCAAGACTATACCTACCATCTTTCTGCAGAATCTTGGTCTGGGGCAGCCTTAGCCAACTGGCCCAGCCCTACTGACTCTCATTAACCAACAGAGCTGGGTGAACTCCCACGGATTCATCTTCCACTGCTGCAGGCTTCTCTGATGATGCCCACTCAGGATCTCAACACCTTCCATGGTAAACCAGAAAATTCTAAGTCAGAGTTCTCAAACTTGGCTGCACATTAAAGTCACCTGCGAACTTTAAAAAATCTGGATGCCCTGATAACACTCCAGGCCCATTACATCAGAATCTCTGAGGATAGTAGCCAGGCATCCACAATAGTGAAGCTTCTCACGTGATGTCAATGTACAGCCAAAATTGAGAACCACTGTTAAGGCGTCTTCCTCAAGCTCCAGCAGCCATGCTCACACAGTGAATTCCACATTTTAGTGTTCACAGAAACTTCTTGGAGCACTTGTTAAGATCTGGATTTCTGGACCCCATTCCCAGAGCCCATATTTGGGTCAGGACCCAGGAGTCTTCATTCTTAATAGTCATCCCAAATAGTTTCATTGCAAGTCATTAGAAGGCCACATTTTGGGAAATGCTACATTAAAGGCATGGAAGTTGGATAGGAGCAGGAGGCCTCTGGCCCTTTAAGGATTAATTAAGGGACTACCTTTAAAGCTGTGGAGCAGAAAGCAGCGTAGAGCTGCTTTCTTTTAACCTGGTGGATAAGGTAACGGAACAGGTCCTGGAACGGACCTCTCCATTTAAGTTACCTCAGCCTCCTCAGATAAGTACTATCTTGTTCCCAGCCCTAGAGAGTGCAAGAGGCATGCTTCTTTGTCCCATCTGTTTTTTCTTTTTGTTTTGATGCAAAGTGATCAAGTTAGGAGACTTTCCTTGGCCCAGGAAAGGGGGCCTTTTCTCCTTCCCAGAGGAAGCAACATAGGGCTGACCTGCCTTCCTTCCTTTATTTATGGCCCCCCTCCTTGGTGGCTGTGGATCCAGAGTGTGCTTACCTGCATGAAAGGAACAGGTCAGACTGACATCCTTTGGGCTTGGATTGGAGCCTATTACTGAACACCAAGGTTTTCAAGATGGTCCTTCTTAGCATCCTTAGATTTCTTCTTCTTTGGGGACTGATGCTTTTTATGGAACACAGGGTCCAAATGGCAAAGGTAGGGCAGCCTTCTGTTGCCCTCCTGGCTGAGGACCCTACCTTGCCCCTGATTCGGGAGCTGCTAGAAGAAGCCCCTGGCAAACAGCAGAGGAAGCCATGGCTCCTAGGGCATCCCCTGCGGTACATGTTGGAGTTGTACCAGCGTTCGGCTGACCCACGTGGGCACCCTAGGGAGAATCGCACCATTGGGGCCACCATGGTGAGGTTGGTGAGGCCCTTGGCAAACGTAGCAAGACCTCTCAGAGGTGAGTTATCATGCCCCCATACTGTCCTGTAGGGGAGAAAAGTGGAGAAGAGTGTAGAGAAAAGGGAATCTGTGGGTTTACTGTCAGTGCTCATCGCCTGGTGAGCAGGTTGTTTCTTCCGGCTTGCTTTTTCAAAGAATGGCAAGCTTGGGAGAAACTGGCTTTAAGCCTACTTCCATTTAGGGCCCCTACTTAAGAATAGATTGCCTTGGGCCTACTGAGGAATCTCTCTGGGCCCCAGGACAACTGAGTGATGTGTCAGCCCCTATCTTTCAAAGAAAGTGTTTTGCTTGTTATATCTCTGAAAATGGTAATTAAGAAATACCCTGCTACATTCTTGTGGAGGGCTGTTTACGTAGTGTTTTGCTCTTAGAAGGAAGAGTACAGGGTGCTGAGTTCAGAAAACTTACAAGGCCTCAGAAAGGACAGATAAGCTAACATCTAAAGGTCTGCATACCTAGATCTGAGCATCTGCTATTGTATTTGTTCCCTAATAATAGCTACTATCATTAGTTGTCATGTGCAATTAGCCTACCTGTTAAAGAAAACTAAGGCATGGAGAGGTTAAACAACTTGCAAATGTCACACAAATAGTGGATGGCAGGGATGGGATTTGAGCTCAAGTCTGTCTGATTCTAAAGCCTGTCTGCAACTTTTCAAGTATTTAGTCCAATATTTTTGTATACTAAACAGTTTTTCTATTGAGGACATGTTGTTACTTTGGTATTTTGATACTAAGTGTATTTTGAAATTTTCTTTGTCCTGCATCATGCTTAATTCTGCTTTGAACATCTGCATTAGACATTGTTCCAAGGCAATATTGGGCTTCTGAAGTGCAGGGCTCTCTAGGGAATGTAGACAGCCATCAACTTTAAGGAACTCTTGGGAATCTAGTGAGATCATTCTAAGGCCTTCACTAGTCTCAGATGACAACAGACAAGATTTACATTTCCCCTTCCAAGTAAAACAACCAATATTCTCATAGCTAACCCTTACTGTAAGCTTACTATGTGTCAGGCATTGCACAAAATGCTTTACAAACATTGTCTTTATTATTCGCCACTACCATGTGAGGTAGGAAGTACTAACATTACACATTTGATAGATAGACTGAGGCTCAGAGTAACTTTCCCAATGTCACACAGCTAGGAATTGAAGGAAGCTGGGTATTAAGCCCAGGCTTTTAAGCCCCAGAAAGTGTGCTTTAATCACCACATTGTGCTGACTCCCCAATAGATTTTAATTGAGCACCAGGCACTATGTTTGAGTTGGGTATATAAAGGCAAATAATTACTTTCCTGACCTCTAGGAGCTCCCAGTATAGTATAATAAATAAATACTAATCACATAATGATGTTACAGTATGATGAGTTCTTTGAAAAGGATAAGCAATAGGGCTCCCAGGACCTCAAAGAAGAAATGGCTCACTGCTTGGAGCAATGAAAAGGAAACAGGGAGGCTGGAAGGCCTCATTGAAAAGGTAATATTGGAACTGGACCTTGAAGAAGTAAGAAGACTATGCTTTGAGGCAGAGAAGTGCATTCTGATTTAAGGAAGAGGAAATAGCTTGGTGTGGGTGGAGATTCATTCCACAATTATTCGTTCAGCACCTACTGAGTGCTAGGCAAACAGACGATCAAGACAGGCAAAACCGTACTCTCGTGAAGCATGTGTTATCATGGTGGAGATGAATAAGAAAATAATTGCTAATTGTGGCAAGTGCTATCAAAGAATGAAATAGGTTGTTATGATAGAGAACAGCAATTAAATCTTCCCTTTGCATGGGGTTGTCAGGGAAGGTATCTCTGAATAGGTACCATCTGAGCTGAGGCTTGTAAGATAAGATAGGTATGAGAGGAGTAGAGAGAAACCTGACTTAGGCAGAGGGAACATGTGTAAAGACACAGAGGGTGGAAATAAGTTTGTCCTTAAAGAACAGAAGATCAGTGTGGCTGGAGCCTCATGAGTATTGTGGAGAGTGGTAGGATATGAGGCTGATGAGAAGCAGGAATTTGGAGGCCATGTTAAGGGACCTGCATTCCATTCCTAAGTGCAGCATAAAGCTGTACAAATCAAGTTTGTGCAGATCACATGAAGGTAAAAAGGAGGATGCGTAGAATTAGGCAAGTATCCTGGTCTGTGGAACATACTAGCATCTAGGGACTCTGGAAAGGATCCAGAAACAGATGACAGGTTCACTCACACAGAATGTGTGAGTCAATCCTTTCCCTGAAAAGTTCTGAGCAGACCTTTCCTGGCTGTGATCGTTAGTAACCCCACCCTACTTCAGGAAGCATGTGATGTCAGTGTCTGAAAGGAAAAAACAGTTTTTCACCAGACAACCTTCTAGAGGTTTGGGTTGGGTTCCTTTTCAGGCAGGGTGGGGCAGGTGTATGGGTGGGCGTCTTGGAAAGACTATTGTAAGATAGAAGTATAAATAACTTGAAAAGGAAATACAAGCCTGGCTTGGGCCTTGTGTGAATGATGGCTAGTGTCCTAAACCTGAGGGTGTATTAAACATGACAAGGAACTTGAACTTTTAAAAATATCCTGGAACATCAAGACATTGAAAAGCTTTTATGCTGAAAGTCCCAAGGCTACTGAAGAATTCCAGGCTTGTGGATTCAATGGATAAGGAAGGGTAGGTGAATAACATGGAAATATTTACTGATAAGATGTTTCAGGATAATCAGGAAGCTTTTTCCTGCGATTCCTGGTTTTCATAATCTTTGCTCTTGACCTTTGCCAGGAGGGGGCGTAGAAGTTCAGAGCACTGTGGGCCCAGCCTTCCAACTCTTTGGCCACTGGGTGTCAGCACACCAGTTTGAATTAAAGCTCCTAATCACGAAGGGCAAGCAGCTTTTCGCAGACTTCTCAGAAAATAAGATACTTATGTGATCAAGGCTTGGTTGAAAATGGTATTTAGGGGGATGGTGGTAAAATGAAGGGTAGAGATCCATTTCCAGCAAGAGATGGAAAAAGGAGAGATTGAGGGGAAATGGCCAAAGGAGGAAAAGATACTCAAGAAGCAATTCTTATAGTTGATGGAAGAAATGCAGGAATGGCAAAATAGCTGTCTCCACTAGGGATGGATAGACAAAATTATTTTGTGGTGCCTTGGTCCTGGGTTTGAAGTGATGGCAAGCCACAGCCCCTAATATGGGACTGTTGCCCCAAAGCTACATCTGTATAGTGAAGTGACTTGAGAACTTTCCTTATATGTCTCAATGACTGTCTTAGTTGTTCACATTTAATAGTCAAGTACTATGATTGATTCTCTCCTATACACATAATATACACACAAAGTAATTCTATACTTGAGGTGTTTTATTTTCCCTCTGAGCCTAGTGCTGTGAGTGATCTAAAAGTGAGACACAGTTTTTCTTAGGGGAAACAGACTTGGGGTCAAACCTTGACTCTACCACACACTGGCTGTGTGTCCCTTGACATAGTTTTTCTGATCTTCAATTTCCTTGCCTGAAAAATGGGTATAATAACTATCTAATATGATTATTGAGGATTAAAGAGCTAATGTATATAAAGCATCTAATACATTAGTAAGTGTTGAATAGATAGCTGCTATTATGATCTTGAGTTAATTTTAGGGCTGAGCAGATTTGTGAGGGAGGTTCAGGCTAGGAGGTAAGCTAATCTGCTCTTGTTTCTTCTTACTTGTGCAGGCCCCTGGCATATACAGACCCTGGACTTTCCTCTGAGACTAAACCGGGTAGCATACCAACTAGTCAGGGCAGCTGTGGTTTACCGCCATCAACTCCACCTAACTCGCGTCCACCTCTCCTGCCACATGGAGCCCTGGGTCCAGAAAAGCCCAATGAATCACTTTCCCTCTTCAGAAGGAGGTTCCTCGAAGCCTTCCCTGATGTCTAAAGCTTGGACAGAGATGGATATCACACAACACGTTCAGCAAAGGCTCTGGAATCACAAGGGGCACAGTGTCCTACGACTCCGTTTCATGTGTCAGCGGCTAGAAGGTAGTGAAGTTCTTGAGCCCCAGTGGCATGGCACTTCATCCTTAGACATTGCCTTCTTGTTACTATATTTAAATGACACTCATAAAAGTGTTCAGAAGGCCAGACTTCTTCCCAAAGGCCTGGAGGAGTTGATGGAAAGAGAATCTTCCTTCCTCTTGAGGAGGGCCCGGCAAGCAGGCAGTATCGCATCTGAGATTCTTGGTCCCTCCTGGGGACATGATGGACCTGAAAATAACCAGTGTTCCCTCCATCCTTTCCAAGTCAGTTTCCAACAGCTGGGCTGGGATCACTGGATCATTGCCCCCCATCTCTATACCCCTAATTACTGCAAGGGAACCTGCCCTCGGGTACTACGCTATGGTCTCAATTCCCCCAATCACGCTATCATCCAGAACCTTGTCAATGAGCTGGTGGACCAGAGTGTCCCCCAGCCTTCCTGTGTCCCTTATAAGTATGTTCCCATTAGTCTCCTTCTGATTGAAACAAATGGGAATATTTTGTACAAGGAGTATGAGAATATGATTGCCCAGTCCTGTACATGCAGGTGACAGCAAAGGTAAAGCTAGCTCAGATTTCCTAATAGAGAAAGGTTTAAAACAAATATCAGTGTTAAAGCTGCAAGCAATACTCTAATTCCTTGCCATGTCATTACTCAAGTCTCTTCCCCCACTTGTGAGCTACTCAGTTTATAAAATACAGTTCTGATATCAATCTCCTAGCATGGATCAGTACAGTTTGACCACGAGTCAGAGCCCTTAAAACTTTGGTAAGATGTTCATTTGGAAATGTGCTATTTTCTTGTCTTTTATTGTCAAACGTTACCAATCCAGGTGGTAGAATGTTAGAAATTATCCTACCAAGGCCTGGGAAAGGTAGACTTTTCCTAGTGTCCATCTTCTGAGGCTCTGGAAGATTTGGGGTGGTGAAAGTAGCTTGAGACTTTATATTCCTCTTTCTTGCTTCCTATAGCTTAGAAACTAGTAGTACCTAATCAGATAGACTGCCTGCTTCTATGCTTGTATTGCCTGCAAAATCTGAAACTCTTCTCAGATGGACCAGAAAACTTTTGGGTAACAATCTCTATAGAAATCTTCTAAGCTAGCAAGGCTTTTCCTCTCAGCCTTTGAATCTGAGAAAAGTACCTGGGATTCCTTCCTGTCCTACAGTAAGAACTGAAGCCTTTAATGAGACCCATAGGGAAACTTGAGTATGGACCTATTTGAGATGGCAATCACTTTAAAATCACCTGCATTTATAGTGAAAAGAAGAGCTGTCATTGCTGAATGGGATTATGTATGGGGGGTGTTATTTTAAACGTTCTATAGAACAATAAATTTCACAGGGTGTCTTATTTTATGTAACAGAGGTTCAAGTGTTAACTGCCCCACAAAGAAAGCTCCCTGGTGGCTCAGAGTCCGGGAATTGACCTGATTAGGAATGGAGGGAAGTAGAGGGCTGTGGGGGAAGGGTGAAACGTGCCCTGGCCTTGAGCTGACTTCATTCTGGGCCTTCCTGTTTTGTGTGTTTAGTTTGGCTCTGGGCATGGGTCTCTGAGGAAAAAAGGCTTGCTCTCTTTGTGAGGCATGGAACTCTGCCTTGGACTAAATGATGCTTGCAGTGTAACTCTTTTCTACTCCTATGCTGTATTTAAGTGATGGGACTGGGCTGGGTTGAAAATTAAAAAAAAATCATTTTCCTTGTTGTTAAAAAGAACCTTGAATATTTTGGACATTGGGAGAGTGGGTGGAAGGAATCTATTTCCTTTGTTTCCTTTAGCTATGGCCAGGAGCTCAACCCTAACCCCCAGGGGCAGGGCTGGAGGATCCTCAGAAGTTCTGCTCTCTTAAGGCAGTGCTGCATGCCATCAGCCCTCACCAAGGTGCCCCTTTGAGGAAGCCCAGAAAGTCTTTTCCCCTGCCCAACCTTGTCACCATTCTCAGTGGGATGGGACTGATTTAGGATGGGTGCATGTATTTGCCAAATATAAATCCCTATCTTTTTCTTACCTGTCCATTGTAAATTAATTCATTTTACCACTCCCTTCTCAACAATATGTTCCAGCTAGACTGAATAACTTGCAAGTCTATAAGTTCACAAATTTTATTCTTCTGCCTATGGAGATGTTCCTTAATATCTGTTTGCCCATCTACTTTACTGTATCTTTAGGAATCAGCTCAGATACTTCTCTTCATCTTCTAAATGCCCCCATGACACCCTAGACTCAGGTAGGTGTCCCATCTCTGTGTTCACATAGCACTATGTGCTTTCCTTTAATACTTTCTAGTATAACTGTCATGCAAAAAGATGGAGCTCCTTTTGTGGGGTTTCAACTGTGGCTTACTCTCTTCTGTATTACCAGAGCCTGGCACCTATAGGTCCTCGATGAATACAAGCACACAACAGTGACATTCCTGACATAAAATATTTCAAGGTCCACACATTTCGTTATTTTTTCCATTGAAATTTAAGATATACTTTGTATAGAAAGTAAGACGATTAATTTTTGTGCCCTACTATGTCAAAATGATTCAAATCACAATAGAATGTGACAGCTATGTTCTTGGATAAGGTAGTTTGCAGAATCCTTTTGTATGCTGTGAAGTGACCTGGGAGAGGAGCTCTGGGCTTCCAGTCCAGCCATTTCCCCACCCTCCCCAGAGTAGGCACAAATACCTAACAGGCCTGAACATGAACCTTGGTTATAGGACCAGATCCTGAGTTCATCTTATTTCTTTGGGATTTCCAGAAAGTCATGACCTAGCCATGTAAGTCCTGAATACATCTGAAACCACCTGTTTATAGAGGGCTTAGAGTTAATTGGCCCCATTATCCTTTGAGCCCTGAACTGTCAGAATACTCAAGGGAAACACTACCAGGATGGGGTTAGTTGTGGCTAATGTTATGAATTCTTTTGAAATATTGCTTCAGCTCAGCACTTTTTCTCAAATCTGAAGTAAATCTGTACCTCAAACCTTCCTCTGAGAAAGGAGACAGGCTTGCTAGTGGAGGAGAGTGTATGGGGTGTCTGTTTGCCCAGATGGGTAGAGAGAAATGGTTACTTGGTCTGGAGATGAAAAGTAGGAAATAAAGTTTGCTTTGTTCCAACAATTCCAGTGAATAGGCCAGAACTTTATTCAATGTATGGGTGCAAAAGAAGCAGGTATTCAAATTTGCTTCTGACTCTGGCGCTCTGTTGCATTTACCTTGGTAGTATATTACATCAAATTCTGGGCAGAGTTGGGAAGCAGGCAAAATTTATCTTTAGTTCCAACAAATATTTGGGTGCCTGATCTTGTAAAAGATTTCATATGTCTACAGTTAATTCTCCTAATAGCACTATAAAGTGAGAGGTATTAACCCCATTAAAAAAATTAGTACTTCATTCAGATATAATTCCATAAAAGCCACTATTTGAGGTGTATAGTTTTGTGGTTTTTAATATATTCAGAGTTATGCAAACATCACTGCGATTTAATTTTGCCACAAAGAAACTCTGTGCTCATTAGCAGTCAGTCCCCATTCTCCTACCCCTTACCAACAGCCCTGGCAACCACTAACCTAATTCCTTTTTCTATGGATTATGGATACTTATATAAAGCAAATATAAACATAATATATAGTAAAATTATATATATTATATATAATATTTTATATAAATATATAAATATAATATAATGCAATATTTGGTCTTTTGCTATTGGCTTCTGCAATTTAGTATAATGTTTTCAAGATTCACCTGTGTTGTAGCATATATCATTTCTTTTTACTGCCAAATATTCCATTGTAGGATATACCAAATTTGGTTTATCCATTTATCAATTTGAGTTCCTACTTTTTGAGTATTATAAATAATGCTGCCATGAATGTTCATGTGGAACTTTCTACATGGGTATGTTTTCAGTTCTCCCGTGTGTACACCTAGGGGTAGAAATGCTAAATCATATAGTAACTCTTTATTCAATGTTTTGAAGAACTGTCAAACTGTTTCCCAAAGCAGTTGCATCATTTTATAATACAGCAATGTGCAAGGATTCCAATTTATTCACATTCGCACTAACACTTGTTATTGTTTGTCTTTTTGATTCTAGCCATACTAGTGGAGGTGAAGTGGTATCTCACTGTGGTTTTGATTTTTATTTCCCAGATTAATAATATCGAGCATCTTTTCATATGCATATCAGCAACTGGCATATCTTCTTAGGATAAATGTCTGTTCAAGTCAGTTGCCCAGTTTTTAATTGGGTTGTAAAAAGTTCTTTATATATTCTGGATATTAGTCCTTTATTGGATATAAAATCTCCAAATACTTTTTGATTCTGTGGGTTGTCTTTTAACTTTCTTGATAGTGTCCTTTGAAGCACAAAAGTTTTTAATTTGAAGAAGTCCAATTTATCTGTTTATCTTTTGCTGCTTGTGCTTCTGGTGTCATTTGAAAACACATTGAATAATCCAAAGTCATGAAGATTTACACCTATGTCTTTTCCTAAGTATTCTGTAGTTTTAGCTGGTATACTTAAGTTTTTAATCCATTTTAGTTAATTTTTGCATATGGTGTGAGGTAGAGGTTCAACTCACTCTTCTGCACGTGGATATACAGTTGTCCCAGCACCAATAGTTTTGTTGAAAAAACAAATCTTTCCTGATTGAATTGTCTTGACACCCTTCTTGAAAGTTGACCATAAATATAAGGTTTTATTTCTAGACTCTCAATTTTGTTCCATTGATTTGTATGCCTATTCTTATGCCAGGAAACAGTGTCATGATAACTGTAGTTTTGTGGTGAGTTTTGAAATTGAAAAGTGTGATCTAATGTTCTATTCTTTACCAAGATTGTTTCAGTTTTCTGGATAACTTATATTTTCATATAAATTTTGGGATCAGCTTTTCAATTTCTGCAAAAATACCAACTGGGTTTCTTTGATAGAAACTGCATTTAATTTGTAGATAAGTTTGAGCAGTACTGCCATCTTAACATTATTGTCTTTTTATCTACAAATGAGGGATTTTTTTGTGTGTATGTAGGGCTTCTTTAATTTTTTCAATGATTTTTTTTTTCATTTTCAGTATATGTCTTATACATCTTTAAATTAATTCCTAAGTTTTAAAACTTATTTTTGATTCTATTGTAGATGGAATTATTTCCTAAATTTCATCATCAGGCTGCTCATTACTAGTATATAAAAACACAATTCATACTTCTTTCTTTTTTTTTTTTTTTGTATATTAATCTTATACCCTGCAAACTTCCTAAACTCATTTATTAGGGCTAATAGTTCATGTGAATTTAGGATTTTCTAATACAAATTTATTTTATTTGTGAATACAGATAGTTTTACTTCCTTTCCAAACTGGATGCCTTTTATTCTTGACTAATTGCCCTGGTTAGAACCTCCAATGCAATATTGAAGTTGTTCAGTCTTTCATCAGTAAGTATGATGTTACCTGTGGTTTATCATAGATACCTGTCTTAGTCTGCTTTATGCTGCTATTACAAAATATCATGGACTGGGTAATTTATAAAGAAAATACATTTTTCTCACAGTTCTGG